ACACACACACACACACACACACACACACACACACAGGGCCCTGAGACAGGAAACGTGGCCAACCCCACTGACGCTGCAAGAGAAGCTATACGGGCCGACAGATGAACTGAGCAGGACGGCCCAATTTATGACAGATACCAGACTTCAAGTGTGATGTGATCGAGAAGAAGAAGAAGAAGGTGGTAAACTTTGATTCATCAAATTGATCACCTGTGACCTTCCTATCACCTGTGACCTTCCTATCGTTGGCCAAATGTGTGTGAGAAGCGGGAAATGCTGTGAACAATCCCATTTTCCGTGTGACAGAGATTTATAGTATTTTTTATAAATTTATGAAGAAAAGTTTTTTATCTTGTCTTAATTGTTGTGGAAAAATATGATAAAGTACAGAGAAATTGATACCAACTGCTGTGCAAAGTTTGGGTGACATTGATCCTCACGTTAAAGAGACATTGGAGGATAAGTTGTGCCATGAGTTTTTGACCGCCCTAAATTACTGTTGTTGGAGGTGGATCTTTCTCTTGTTCTCTAATATTTCTCTGATAGTTGAAATACTTTTTGGTTTTGTGTAAAAAGAAGCTGAAATAATCAACACAATTGAGGGCATTTAGTGCTGGGAGAAAAAACCACCCAAGGTGAACGGACAAATACAAGAGGATTAAAGAAACAGTAGAACCTATCAGAGGTGCCCTCCAACCATACAACCATCAACTTTGTATTTTATCCTCCAGCCATCAGTTTTGTATTTTATCCTCCAACCATCAGTTTTGTATTTTATCCTCCAGCCATCAGTTTTGTATTTTATCCTCCAACCATCAGTTTTGTATTTTATCCTCCAACCATCAGTTTTGTATTTTATCCTCCAACCATCAGTTTTGTATTTTATCCTCCAACCATCAGTTTTGTATTTTATCCTCCAACCATCAGTTTTGTATTTTATCCTCCAACCATCAGTTTTGTATTTTATCCTCCAACCATCAGTTTTGTATTTTAACCATTCTAAAGGTTAAGGAAGTAATACAGACTTTTACTATTACCCTGCTGTAAGTTTTATTTTCCTGTAATGTTTCTCGCGACAGGACACGCTCACGCTCAAGGTCACCTTCAAGTGAAGACTCCCGACCCAGTTCTCGGGAAAGTCGCCATTCGGTCAAGGAGCAGAAGCAAACGAGGTCAAGGTCAAATTCTCCCAGTGATGGTTACGAGAGCAAAGGCGACTCGCAGGATGAGTCGGGGAAAAGTTGGCGTCGGGAGTCGCATAGAGAGCGCCAGACGGACAAACTGACTACGGTGAAGGAAGAAGAAAAGGCACAGAGGAGGGCGGGAGATACCTCTCCCACACTGAGCGAGGTGGAGTCTGAGGGGAAACGCTCGGAGAAATCCCCCCAGGGGAGCTCTGCACCAGGGTCAAGGTCGTCTACGCCGAGGAACGACAGCGGCGACAGAAACAAGGAGAGTGTTCGGTCCCAGACCTCTAGGAGCAGCGAGCTGGAGAGACTGAAGCAGGAGCTTCTTCATCAACAAGCCAGACAGGAGAGGCAGAAGAAAGTGAGTAACTCCCAGGAACTGACGGGTCAGCACTTTGTGGCAAATGACTTACCGTGGTCCTTGGGAGCAAACTAATCAGTTTATCCACCTGAAAATTCTCCATTTTATATGCTCAGTCGATGATAGGTCTTAAGATTATAGTGTAAAGCGCATAGAGCCTGCTGTTGAGCGGGGATATGCGCTATACAAATGCTGTTTATTATTATTATTAGTATTATTATTATTATTATTATTATTATTATTATTATTATTATTATTACTGACTTGAAATGTTCTGAAAACTTAAGAAAGAAAGACGAACAAGCTGCCAAGAACCAGATTGTTGCGTGATGATTGGCCTACCAAAGTAGTTTTTTGCTTCTGTAGAATTTCCTCTGCTGGGATAAAAAGGTCGTATTGCACGGGGACATTATCTCGTGTACACATATGTGTTGTCGTTGTAAGATTGTCTCCCGTGCTGTGTACACATGTGTGTTGTCGTTGTAAGATTGTCTCCCGTGCTGTGTACACATGTGTGTTGTCGTTGTAAGATTGTCTCCCGTGCTGTGTACACATGTGTG